TTATCTTTCTCAAACTGGCCAACTCAAACTCTCTTCATTGTAGTATTGACAAATTTCTCCTCTACCTCCTTCAGCTGGTGTAAAATTAACCTGCTGACTTATTAAAGGGAACAAGATGTCTTGTTATTTGGTATCTTCATAGTGTGAACATATTACTACAGTATAACATTCTCTATAATGCTTCTCTGTTTCTTTTGAACCACTTTTAAACATGTGCTCTTGCTTTTTCTGTGTCTAATGGACCTAGTACCTCATCATTATGAGCTCTTATTGTCAGGCTCAGAACAGAAGGACCCAGTACTCAAGGCTGACAAACAGATTTTTCAGAACTTTAATTGATAACAAAATTGGAGTAAGCAGCATCAGCATCTAAGGCAGAACCTCTGGTCTTATAGTTCAGTCCGAATATCAAAGTAAGGGATGGTCCCAGCCAGCTGGCTGCCAACGCAGTGCGGCACTCGCTGCCCAGTTGCTGATGTATTGGTGGTCGAAGGACTGGAAGGAGTTCAGAACCGAGCAGACTAATGTAGGCAGGATGATCTGGAGGGCGAAGGTAAAGCCCATGTTGGTGACTTGCTCGGTCGTCATAGCAAAGGAGGTCAGAGATCCGGTGAGGTGGAGAATCCAGGACGGAGTCGGGTCACAGTTCCAGATATGGTACATAGTGTGGCTGACAGACTGGACGAGGGCAGTCAGGCTCAATGTTTGGGAAACAGTACACAAGCAGGCAGAGATCAGGCAGGTCGTTGGATCAGGCAGAAGTCAGAAGACCAGTCAGGCAAAAAGATCAGATGGAAACAGGCAGGTTCAGAGGTCGAGAGGCAGAACAGGTCAGGATCTGGTAGCCAGAACACAAGAACGCTGGAATAAATCTCACGAAAGGCTTGAAATAATCTGGCACTGATGACTGCTCTGAAGGCTGGTAACATTATAACTAATGCAGGTGGATAACATGAGCAGGTAATGAGAACTGGGCGGAGCTAAGCAGGTGTGTGCAATGAGTGATCAGCGCAGTGTTGAGATCATGACATTTATAAAGTTATCCTTTATAAATGAGCTTTGAGATCTAAAAATAAAATATTCTTGTTGTTCTTAGGACTTTACTTTCCAGCTGTAGCCCCTAAACTCAGGAATGGCCTTCCTATGTTTTGGAGGTTTGCCAGAACTCTCAAAGAATTAAAATATCTTTTAATAACATACATTTTAACACTACCGTACTTTCAGCTCAGGGGTGCATGATTAGTAGGAAATGGTTTTTGTTTGCTTTGTAGTTTTTTTTGTTGTTGTTATTGTTACTGCTTATTTGTTTAATAATTTTCTTTTCCTATTTTGTTTTCACATGTGCAGTACTTTGGCTGCCTTTGGTATTTTAAAGCACTTCACAATTTATATTTTTATTCATTTGATAAGATTTGGCTTTACATTTCACAAGGAGAAAGACATCTGAATAAAACATCTTCTTAAAGCACACTTGTCCAACTCTCTGTTTGTTAATTAACAATTTCTTTTGCTTCAAGCCTGGACTGAATGTTTTAAATTTTGTTTTGAATGTGAGATTTGAGTCCTAAAGCATTTGCCAAAGATGAGTGAAAGATTTTGCATTTCAGCCATCGAGAGGAAAGGATATCGTCCTTTATCGTTTATGTTTTCAAACAAGCAAAGGGTAGACAGATAATCAGAGCTGAATATTATATGTAAAACATTTTAAACTTGTGTCACATTTCCGTTAAAGGTCTGTAAAGAAATAAGAATATATCCAAAGCCACAAGCAATGCTGCATAATGTATAGATTTAGGCTGGCCTTTAAAGAAAAGATTAAAAATAGGACTTTATCAGACATATGGCGCAACTTCCTTGTCTCTGTTTCTAATGAGCAGAATTGGTGTCTTCCTAGATCATGCAGTAAAACTCCTGAATAGGGGTGGCCTTTGTAATGTTGTATTCTGTATTTTGTAATTCTGGGCATTTGAGTGTACAGTAGATAGGAATAAGTTATTTAATATAATATTGGATTTACTGAAAATATAAAGAGAATATCAACATAATGTATCGGCTAAAAATCTGCCCCTTCTACCTTTAGGTAGGTCGGCTCAAGCAGCTGTTAGCAGGGTAGCAGTTCCTGTCAGCTGGACAAGTTAACCAACAAATTATGGCTTCTTGATGACCGTTTGGTGAATAATGTCTTCTCTTCACTCCATGCTCGGTCTCCATCGTTTTGCAATTACTGTATGTAGCACAGCATCAAGGTATGAGTTTGCTGCAGGCTCACTACTGTGTCATATGGACATTATAATCATATGTCTGGCTCACAAGGCAAGATTTTAAAAGTTGTTCAACCTTGGAGACACCTCTATTATTTAAAAAAGACGTTGTAGATGTAGTAGGTTCAGTTCTTCAGTGTGTGGTGTACAAACCAACTTGTTGAATATCCCTGATTTGTGGTTGGAATGTCCAAATAAAATAGACCACTTTCAGCACATCCACCTTAGCGGGAGTATCTTATAAGATTATATTTACAGACATTAGGACAATTGGGACAGAGTTAAAAGTGTCAGAAGGCAACAATGAAGGCAGTTTCCATCAGTCTTTCCGTTTGAACAAGGCATTCGCTAACAGCCTTCTACTCAGTTGGATTCATGGATGTTACAAAACGGTAAAAACCAAAAACACTACACTTTGTGGATGTGCATGCTTCAAACCTACTTAAAGCTGTAAAGAAAATTCAATTTTGTCAGATGACAAATGTCAGGAAGAAAAAGCAGTAGTAAGGGGTGTGTCCATGCCTAAATCTGCAGATATTAAGCCATCTGTTATACCATTCACCAAAAATATAATAATGAATAAAATTATGCTTTAGTTTTTGTGCAATATTACCCCTATAAATACCAACAAATTATTTTACAAATTAAAAAACTGTAAATGGAATGCGTGCGATGACACATTAGTGGTGAATTAGCACTGGAAACAGTCATTGGTAAGACCCAAAGATACTTAGAGGTATCTAACACTTTAATTTGATTGGGTTGCTTAAGAGCGTACCGTACTGTTCAGCTTTGAATTTGCATCCTCTCATTTCATGTGTGAAGTGTTCTCAGGTTGCCTGTTATTTCCTCACCTAATCCATGCACAGACATGCCTATTATTTAGTAAGATGAAGATCTGTTTAGGTTTCAGCTAGGAGTATTCAGCTGAAAAAAGAAAAGTGTACGGATGATTTATTTCGGGGAATTGCAAGGGTCTCCTCATAGCTATTTTTGCAAATAAGTCATGAAACCCAACACATTGGTTGCTTGACTCAGCATGTTGGACATAACAGGATAGAACCCCATTACATTCCTGCAGATGCCATAGATAAATCTATATCAGGTTACCGCTGTTATCAAAATCTAAACTATAATCAGAAAACCTGCTGCTACAGCCAGATAGGAGCAGATAAACTAATAGGCTTTATCTATGAACATGTCAACAAATGTAACTTTCCCTTTCTGTAAGAACGTTTAATTATTTTGTACGTTGATGAATATTTTCAGATTTAAACTTTCTGATATGTTTTTAGAAAACTTTCATTTAGGGTAATAATTTTTTGCATATAACCCGGGGTTATAAGGCAGCTGCGCTAAAACCTTTTGTCTGTTGAATCCACTTGATGGGGGGTGGTGACCTCAATGTAAGCTGTCTAAAATATGTCTTTCATTCCAGTTTCTGATTCCATCCCTTGTAGATTATTTTTGTCCATTTAGCTATATGTACACCACCGCTGCCCATTTAAAGCTATCTAACACATTCCTAGGAAGATACTGAAAACAATTTGCTGTCATCCAGTGGTCAGCTAGATCCCAAATTGGGTCTTATGTGGCTAATTTTAAATAATAGTAATTTATTATAAAATGTATGCAATTCGCATTTTGAAATCTCATAGGAGGGGAAATTGGGTAAAAGGAAATTAAACAAGTACTGACAACATTTCATGATTAAATACCAATAGCTTATTTATTTCTCATCTCATTTCATTTTGAAGCTTTTTAACAGCAAAAGTGCATGAAAATATTAGAATATACATATGAATATAGTTGGAATTGAAAGCTAAATTAATGTGCTGTTTTTACAATATAATGAAGCCTAGGCTGAAGTTCAAATGGAGAAACTCATTGCTCTCCTACATCCACCTGCGACACAGCCAATCAGCTTTGAACCACACCTCCATGGTCTGCATCCAAAGTTCATCTTAAAAGGCCTCCGATCCGCAACTCGTCTGATACATAGTGCGCAGGTGGTGATTGTGCTGCGTTACTTCATTCAGAGAACCCTGTTTCAACCCACCTCCAGGCCCCTCCTCCACCATCGTAGCTAAAGCTTCATCAGAGTTTCATTCCTTGCGGACTCTTACTGCGTTCCGCATCTCATTTCAACCGGTCCGGCAGAAGAACGCCATGTTGAGCCTGGTTCTGCCAGAGGTTTCTTCCCAACTGGGAGTTTATCCTCTCCACTGTCACTTCATGCTTGCTCATCATGTACAGGTTCTTTCAACCTGTGTTATCCAAACTGGACTTCCATCTTCCAGGTCCCTGAGTGAAGCTCTAGTATCAGCTCACGCAGTCCACTGGATCTCCCCATAAAGCTCAGCATACCGTCTCGCTAACCAGCAGTCTACAGACTGACCAACTTCATCTATCTCCACTCCACCACCAGTTTCAGGCCTGGGGGGAAACAGCCCTGTTCTTTACTCCTTTTCATGCATATCTATCAAAATTAAATGCTATGTTTCCTGCTAAGGTCTGTGCGCCAGAGACCAAGTAATTGTATCAATAAATTTCTTCTAACGTCTTTTCTCTTCATGTGAGTTTTTCAGATTGAATTCTTGTAAACTCTTTGGAATGAATCAAACATGTACTCTTAGGATTATTTTAAGGTCTAGTTTGTGTTGGAGGCTCAAAATGACAAAAACCAAGAAAAGTAAATAGTTCCTACTTTTGTTTTTGTTTTGTTTTTTGGTTTTTCAGACTGGGAGATGGAGAACGGAAATGGGACATTGGAAGATGTCGATGCATTATGGGAGAAGGTGGAGAGCAGGCGCTACGAGCTGTGTCGCAACATCACTCCGGCGAAGTTGACCCCTTACCTTCGACAATGCAAGGTCCTGGACGAGCAAGACGAGGACGAGATTCTCAACTCCCTGCTGCTTCAGGCAAAAGCAAACCGAACAAGTGAGTAAAAATATTCGAGCTGATCTGTTAATACAACTCCCCCTTTCTACGATTTGCTTAAAGATTTTAACTGGAGTTGTTGTGTTGTTGTTCTGGGGGCGTTTTTTTACCTGAATGTTAGAAAAGCTTTTATTAAACCCGACTTCACAGTAGATTTTGAGTAAGGATTCTCGTTCTAGGAGTTGGTTGATTTTCTTTTCTTGATTCTGAACACAATAAGATCTTCTTCATACAATAATAACAGAGGAACACTGGGTTTGCATTGGCTGAACTTTAAAGAGAAACACTTTTCTTTGAACCTTTTCAGGTCGTCTTCTCGACATCCTTCGCACTAAAGGAGAGCGAGGCTATGGGGCCTTTTTGGAGAGTCTGGAGTTTTATTACCCCGAGCTTTACAAGTCGGTCACAGGAAATGATCCCACAAGACGCTTCTCCACCATCGTCGGTAAGATACAGATGCACCCTTTTCATGTTTCTATGCATGACAACTGTCAACTTTAATGCTTTTTAAGTGGGATTTTTACTGATTCACCAACATGCAGGATGGATTGATTGTGAAGGGGAAGGAAAATAATAACGGTGTGATTTTTTTTCCTTTTTACGAAAAGATTCAGAAAAGGCTGTGATTTTAGTTTCAGCATTCCTGTGATGTCCCTAGTTGAGCTTATAGGAATGGTTGAAAGAAATCGATTATAATCCTGGTCAGATACATCCTGATTCATGTTTTCTACAGGTCATGGTGGGGACTGAAATGTAAAGAAATGCTCTGGTCAAATGATATGTTGTCTTGCAGAAAACTAGCAATGCATAGCACCGTAAGCACACTGTTGAAACAGCTGTACATGGTGAGGGTAGCATCATGCTGTGGGATGCTCTGAAATATGGGCTGGAATGGAGCTAAAGGTGGGAAGATTTTCAGTAGATAGAGGTAAGATGTGGAACTTCCAGCAAGAGAATAACCTAAAATGCACACATTGAGCTTTGATTGAATGATTAAGATTGTCTTTCTATGGTCTAGTCAAAGTTCAAGTATTAATAAAAATAATTAAAACATTAATAATAGTGATGGTTAATTTGATAGTGTGATTCTCAGTTGAAAGATTTCTCATTTATCCCCATGTAGTAATATTTCTTCCTATTAACTTTTATAAACTTAACTTAAAGGACAATGAAGTAGTTTATCTCAGCCTTTGGTTGGTGGGGTTACTGGGGCATACTGGATGCTACCAGTGGGCAAGAGAGACTAGTCCTTTGTAACACGGGTGGGATTGTTCATATTACAGGGAGATTCAAGGTAACAAAACATTCCTGAATAGACTGTGCCTCTCTTCCTCTTTTTTCCCCCCACAGTTGAAGTGCTAGATCTATTATCATACACAAGACTTTCCTGCAAATAAATTTCACAGTTCTTAGAGCTTGAATCTAATGAGTAAACCAAAGTTTTATTTTTTAAGCATTTTTGATGTAAAATAATTGACTGTTTGTTAGCAGATGATACAATCACATTGGATTATTAAAAAGATGTTAATCATTGGTGAAATAAACCCGACTGGTGTGTATTTTATAGTGGTGTGATTTGAAATGATTCTAATAGATTAATAAAATATTGCATCAGAGGGGCTGAATAGAAGAGCGTCAAACCTCTTAGTGGTTTTGCTTTAATTCAAAGATTTTAAAAATTGTCCTTTTTTGTTCTTCCATCAAGTAACATCTTATAGAAGAAAATAAATGCTTCCTTTTTATGAAACATTTTTGATTTTCACTTGTTTTAAAACCTAAAAGTGCAAAAAAGTATGTTGGTTTTTTAAAACCAAACAGATTTCATACAGAAGATAATTAACAAAAATAATAAGTTGTGCTTTATTAAAAGATCATGCAATATTAGCGGCTGTAAACACCCTTTATTTAGTGTACTCGGGGCAAAATAGCTCTTTGTGTTTTAAAGGTTGTAGACCTTTGGTCAAGCATATACATTTACCTTAAAGTTTGTATCTGCATTATCTGCATCCATGATTTTTTTTTTGTTGGTTTTGAAAATAACGCAGCAAAACCTGCAACTATAGAGCAGTAAGTTCTGCTGAAGCAAAGTCAGTTTTGTGTACAATCTGATGATGTAAAATAGTTTCTAAATTAATTTCTTCTTCTTTTTTTTCTCCCACCTTAGTTGAAGAAGGTCAGGAAGGTTTGACCCAGTTCCTCATGAACGAATTGATGAAACTGCAGAAGAATACCAAGGTCAAGACCCTGCAGAACACAGAGCTCAGCAGAAGGACCCGCACGCTGGAGGACGAGTATAAGAAGCTACGCTTGGCTAATCAGGAGCTTCAAGCCTTTCAGCAGAGTAAAGATTGATCTTATTTAACCAATGGCGACAAGTTTCACAATTTGTACCCCTTACATAGATCAACAGTTAAGCTTTTTTGCTGAAAACTTTAACCCCACCACTGGTACTCGGTTTACCTCTTTCGGTGCGCCACAATTCAGCTTAACAAGGATTTTTTTTGATCACATAGCATACAAAAGGCTGCTTTTGAAACTAGGACACTGTGGTCTTTGTTATCATATCCTGTGTAGTTAACATCTGCAGCTGGCACACTAAGGCTTCTTTAAACAGGTTCTAAAAATACTGCCAGAAAGTTGTCCACGTAACTTAAGCTAAGCAAACTCTTAAATAGGATATCATCCAACAGGTCTACAAACACATTTACTATCTATATCTATCAAGACCATTTGTTTTCAGATGTCCATTTGGCTAAAGAATATTTTTATTTCATAAATTGATTTTATGGTTGATTTGTTTTAGGGTACAACAAGTTAAGAGAGGAGAGGAACAGCTACAGTGATGAGCTGCTGAGGGTAAAGGATGAAAACTACAAACTGGCCATGAGGTACGCCTCGCTCAGCGAGGAGAAGAACATGGCCGTGATGAGGAGCCGAGATCTGCAGCTTGAGGTTGTCCAACATTAACAAATAAAAATGCAGTGCCTTGCAAAATTTTCCACAACCCTTTTAGTTTTTGCACATTTAGTCAATGAACCGCCGTTAACTGTCAATAATGCACTCCATAAATCTGGCCTTTTTTTGAAACAAAAAAGGAATCTTGAATTAAATCAGCAGAGATTCTGTTTGTAGCGGTGGAAAAACTAAATCTGCAGATTTTTGTTTGGGAAAAAAAATCCCCTAAAGATACATTAAGGTTGCAGTTGTAGTGTGACAAGGCACTGGATTTTTTTCTTTTTTTTTTAAATCTGAGGTTTAGGAGTGGGTGTTGAGCAAATGTTGGATTCTGTTTGTTTTGAAGATTGACCAGCTGAAGCACAAACTAAACAAAGTAGAGGAGGAATGCAGGATGGAGAGGAGGCAGAGTCTCAAGCTGAAGAATGACATTGAGAACCGACCCAAAAGAGAGCAGATCTTTGAGCTGGAGAGGGAGAATGAAATGCTCAAGATCAAAGTGCAGGAACTTCAGGCCATCATACAGGTAGGGAAGATATATTTGCTCAAGCATAAGGGGCCCATGCTATTAACAGTTGTAAAGCTAAGCTGATGGATCCCTGGATAAGCCTGTAAATGGACCTAATATGAGCTTTTAAGCATTTGACTCCAGCTGCCACCTGCAGTTTGTTGATCAGTTGAAACTGATTGGAGCTGAGTGTGAGACAAAATACTGACGTCCTACAGAGTATACAGGGAAACAGTTCAGCTTTTAATTCTTATGTCAAGAAGAAAGCTTTGACCTTGAAATAACTCTACTTTCTGTATTTTATTAAGTCTGGCCAATTACCTGCATCAGAAAAGGTCATCCTTGACATTCTGGAGCATGACAGACAGGAAGCTCTGGATGACAGACAGGACCTGGTGAACCGCCTCTACAATCTGCACGAAGAAGTCCGACAGGCTGAGGAACTAAGAGATAAGGTTACAGCTTCGCACAATACACCACTCCCACTGTGAGCATTGTAAGATGGTCATGTGGTTCAGTGGTTACTAATTTAAATGTGGCTTTTCTCTTGTATGCTTCTTTGCTTTCCTGCCTTTCTTTCTGTTTCTCAATCTGCCTTTTACTTTTACTGTACAGCTCTTTTTAAACTCATTACGAACCTTTCGGCAACGCAAAACAATCTGAACATGTAGTTAATGTTGCAGAGAGAAGAAGGTAACTGTATCCAGCTCAGTTTAGTTCAGTTTATATAGCGACAATTCACAACAGGTTTTCAGAGACAATTCGAGAGATCATCCGCTCAGATTTGTTCAAAGTTTTTTTTAATCTAAGAAATCTCATCTGACTGCATCCAGGCAGCAATTTTGCAGGACTCAGCAATCCCTTTGCAGCGATCCCTCAAACTGAGTGCCCATGCAGCAACAGTAGAGAGGAAAAACTCCCTTTTAAGTGATGCCAGCAAGGGGTTCAAGGAGAGAAAAAGTAGACATAAAAGATGAACATTCAAGCACTGATCTATAATGACTTTCTAAGTTAGAAAAGGCCACGATAAACTATCTCCATAGGTGGCTCTCTCTAAGAAAGGACACTTAAGCAGATGAGCTTTGAGACAGTTTTTATGTCAAAGGGATGAAAGACAGTACATTTAGGATGGATTCACAGCCAAACAGGAACAGACCAGCAGAGAGAGCATTAAGGAAGAGGTTGAACTAACAATTACTGTTGAATGGGAGAACAGAGATAGAATGAAGCAGAATGATGAAAAGTTGTCCTTTTGTCCCCCAGCAGTCTAAGCCTATAGCAGAATAGTTTGTCACGTGTTGCAATTATAGATTGCTATAGATTTCTGCTTAACAAATGCCATTAACAAATGTTTTAAAACCCAGATTATGTTGTTAGGACTGAAAATAGTTCAGTCAACATATTTATGGACAGAATGGCTCTTTTAAGTCAGAGAAAGGCGTTGCACCCTTTTTTTCAGTCAGCTGACTGCCAGTGTGCAGCAAAAATCTGCAATTAGTTTTAAATGTCTTTGGGGAAAACAAAATATTAACACCAGCACTGCTGTCTGTTTTCTGTGTAGTACTTGGAGGAGAAAGAGGACCTTGAGTTGAAGTGCTCTACCCTGCAGAAGGACTGTGAGATGTACCGCAACCGCATAGACACCATCTCTGCACAGCTGGATGAGGTGGAGAAGGAGAGGGACCAGGTGAAAACCCACCTCACACCACTGTCCATACGTTGAAGCGTTTGTAACTCAGCACAATAATCGCTTTTTTCCCCCCCTTGTTTTGTTCCGTTGGCCGCGGCAGGCTTTTCGCGCTAGAGATGAGGCACAGCACCACTTCTCTCAGAGCCTCATCGACAAAGACAAATATCGTAAGCAAATCCGGGAGCTGGAGGAGAAGAGCGACGAGCTCCATATTGAGATCGTTCGTAAAGAGGCTAAGTTGGTGACGCTGGAGAGTCGCCTGCGGCGGATGTCCAAGGATATTCCTCTGGACCAGGTCAGACCCTATGAAGCTATCATATTTCCCTCTGCTGACATGCTATATATACCATGTGTGTTTTGCTGTAAATGTGAAAATATCCTTAATGTTAGCATATTTCTCTAGATTATATGACAACAATTATTGAATCAGATATAGTCAGTGTATAAATTCCAAAACTTTATTAGTAAAGAGACTTCTTTTTCCCCAGCTTTTATTGTCATTACAAGTACAGAAAAACGAAATTTACTCTCTGTATTTAACCCATCCCCTTGAGGAGCAGTGGGCTGCCATTGTGCGGTTAAGGGTCTTTTGCTCAGGAACCCAGAGTGGCAGTCTGTGGGAGTTAGGCTTGAACTCAGAACCATCTCGATTCCAAGCACAATGCTCTAACCACTAGGCCGCCACTCCTCAATAAGAACTCTGTTCAGGTTCGTTTGTTCTTAATTACAGCTGGATAATCTCACTCTGGGAAATTCAGAGCAATCCAATCTTTTTTTATGGTACATTTATTTATTGGTTAAAAAAATCTTTTAAATAGATATTGTATTCAGAATCTCCAGGTGTTTCCAACTGTTTAAATGAACTAGTGCAAAAATACCCAAGGAGCCTTTGGAAGAGAATTGAGTCCACAGTATGGAAAACCCTCCATCGTACTGAATTCTTATTCATAGTAGTGTCCTCCAACACATTTGCATTTTAAGATCAAGTAATATTAATCAAACTCCTTTTGTTTGATGTTTTGTCACTTCCAAGTAACAGGTTAGCATGTAGACCAGCATATCATGGGGAACTAATGACACCAGTAAGCTGCTGTGCTGCACCTCTAAGTGTGGTGACAAAAAGTAAAGAATGAATTCATAGCCATTTCTGTTAAAGGATTCTGAGAGTATACCATAGATTAGATCAAATATTTCTCAAAACTGTATAATGCTCAAATTAAAGGTTGGACTTTTCTAAAGGTTTCAATGTTTCTAAAGCCTTTTATTGTATACATGAAAATTTTAGCTCTTTATTTATCTATTAATATTCTGCAAATCCAAAATAACAGTATTCCCAGCAGACGGTGTTACCTATCCAATGTTGGAAAATAAATACAAAGAAGGTGTTAAACATAAAGGAAAAGTTTGTTGTCAAAAGCTTCTTATCTAACTTCTTTTTGCATTTGGCTCTGCTGCACTTATAAAATCAGCTTGTATATAAACTTGATGTAAAGTAAAAGGAACTTTGTTTGTATTCCTCCTATTTTGTTTCTTGCAGAGTTTACCCAGAGACATGCCGTTACCCTGCATCTCACATGCGCCCGAGGATAAACAAGATTGGTCTAGCGACGAGTCCCAGTCCCAGTCTGAGAAGCCACGACTCGTACGCAGGCCCAACCTTAAAGAGCGTATAAATGTAGTTATTCCATTTTCGTCGGGGGTGCACCATAATCTACTTATGTCATTTTGCATAGCTTGCTTTGTTCAATAAGCTGGTTTAAAAAAAAAAAAAAAAAAGGATGATAAAAGTGTCTGGAAAATATTAACGATTAGGTCTTCAAGTACTTTAAAATCTAAAATTTATGAAGGTCTTTCTGGTTTTTTGATTAGCTCTTGATTTTCATATGCATTTTTATCCCTGCTTATAAAGGAGTCAGTAAGAAATATTGATCCAACATATTGTCATTTAGACACGAGGTAAATCTCCAGTGCTCAAAGACATCCAGATTAACTCAGATGCCAGCCAACGCCCAGGTATGCTGGATATTGTTATTCAATCTTACAATCCATCAGCAAATAACAACACCAGGCTTTTTGTGCAACTTCATCTCCATTTTTCCACACCTTTCAGCTCCAGCCACCATCAGCAATGGAGATTTGCTTGATATTCAGATGCCAAACATCAACGGCAACAACAACTCCGTCCCTCCCTCACCCATCTTCCCAGTGTCCCCCACTTACCCCTTGCCGTCTGCCTCCCCGCTGTCGCCCTGTCCCTCACCCGTACCGAACAACTGTAGCAATTTTGAGCAGCAGCGGCAAAATTTGGTGCGTAGTTGCCTGAGTAATGGGCTCATTTGATTAATTGAAATTCAATTTGATGTTTATTTCTAATAATTATTACCTATTTATCAACCATTGTTGTAGTTTAAACCGATAAATTATTCGAAATATGGAATTTATAATTAATTTTTAATGATTTTAACTAAATTTAGTTAGATTTTGATTATTTAGTTTAATGCAACTATTAAAATTAGGATAATAAAGAATACAAATTTACTGATTTGATTTTTGATTATTTAAATTAAAACTATTTCATTAAGTTTCATTTTATGTTAATTTATTGAAAGTGTTTTTGAAACTGTTTTAATTATTCATTTAATTATTTTTCACTATAACTTAGATTTTTTTTTTATTTTACATTGTTAATTTATTTCATTATGTTTTATTACTTTGCTATTCATCTAAATTAAGTTTCTTTTTATTTAAGGATTTAATTCAAATCAAGTCTGCTGAAAAGAAAATGAAATGATAAAAAATTAGATAAATAGATTTTGTTTTTTCTTTTGTTTGAAGCTTCAGCGTTTTCGTACCGACAGCATCCTGTCAATTGTCCCTGAGCCCCCTGAAAAGGCTTCCCTTTATCGCAGAGAACGGGAAAATGAAAATGACTTCCAGCACCGCAGGTAAAACAAACGTTTCTGGTTTCCATTCCATGGGAGTTTAATCTAACATTAAAGTTTGCACAAAAGTCCTTACCTTCTGTTTTCTTTGTAGCCACTTAGACTATGATAGTGACAACATGGACATGGAGTGTGGTAATGAGCTTTTATTTAACCCTGAGAAAAAACATGAATAATACAGTTGATGTTTGATCTCTAACTCTTTTTTTAAATCAACATCTTGACCAATCTGTCTCTCTGTGTTTGCATTTAATGTTCTGCCTCAGAAGATGGCCCCAACTCCGTGATCTCTTCCTCCTCCTCCCATCAATCAGAGGGGATGGACACATATGATCTGGAGCAGGTCAACAATATCTTTAGGAAATTCTCTTTGGAAAGGTATCCTACAACTTCCCATGTTCCTAATTTTACAAACCTCCATAAATCAAGTAATCTTCAACTAGTATCCTCATTTGTGGGAACTGGTGCGCAGGCCGTTCCGCCCGTCTTTGTCCTCCTTCTCTAGAATCAGCGCCACCATTAAGCCAGTGCAGCAGCTCTCGCTGCAAGGTGACAACCTCCTGAGGGACGTCACGCTGGTGGGCGGCAATGAGAGCGGGATTTTCATCTCATCGGTTCAGTCTGGGTCTAACGCAGAGAGAGCAGGACTGCGGGAGGGCCACCACCTCTTGCTTGTAAGCAGTTCACTTTCTGCACATCAGTAGGTTTTTCCTGAAAGATAAACAGGCTAACTACTTTTTAAAACTGCTAAATACACATAGAAATTAGGAGAGTTGACTTTGTGCTAGGATTGGATAAATTATTGAATTCTATAAGGAAAATGTTATTTGACATGTGTTAATATCCTATAGAATATTATATGTAAAGAGGTCTGCAGCGGCTCTTAACCCTAAACTAAGTGAAATACTTCGAAAATCTAAATTTCAAGCCAAGGCTACTATTGGAGGACAGAACAAGACCTTATTACTTTTGTAACATTTAAAACATATGAATATTTTGATGGCAAAAATGAATGTCAATGTAATAATAAGAAACGCCCACTTGCCCTAACATTTTTAGAAAAATAAAATGTTTTACCTTTTTAAATTATCAACTTTACTTTTCAACTTTTCAATTGAACTTCTTCGCTTAGAGTTTTCAACTTAATCTACAGTAGGTAATATATCATTAATGGGCTCATCTAATTGGTCAAATACGAAAATAACATGTTTAGCCAATAAGCAGTATCTTTGCTGAATGGCTGGATATAGATCTTGTGCTTCTAGACTTAGTGGATGGGGGTGAATTCATTTGTAAGGGGTATGCTAGCGATCAAAAGTGGTAACTTGCCCTATAAAGGCTTAATAATTTCAGAAATAGTTAATATAACAAATGCTAAAACGTTCAAGCATTTTTTTCTTATTTTAATAGCTGCTCTGAATTTGGTCATGAGAATTACCTCAAAGGTACCACTAATGCTTTATTTTTAGTGGAGGTGCACTGATTGCAGTTTTCTGTCCAATCACTGATCTTTAACAAGCATGAAATGTAAAATTCAATTGTGACTGATACAGATTTTTGTTCAGCAATATTTTTAGTAAGTAAGATCACAATATACATTAAATTTTTCAATCTTAATTTGTTGGGAAAAAGCAATGAAACAGATAAAATCGATACTTGTTCCAACTGCTCAAGATATAGCAGAAAATTGAGAGTGGCATTGGATCAGATTGGTTTTACTTTTAAGAATCTGCTGATCAGCGATGTACTAAAATTAAGGAAATCAAAGCGGAACGATTGGCTGAGCAAACAATCACTGCGGCCCTATTTTTTTAGATCTATTTCTCTGCACATTAGGTTCAAAAAACTAACCTTTAATTCACCATTTACTAAAAAATATAAACTGCCTGTAGAAGAAAAAGTATCCGTCCTTTAATTTGCAATAAGTCTTTCTTTTTGTTAAAGCTAATAACATTTTTTAAAAAGTGTTTCTTTAAGAATTAAATATAATTTCCTTGTGTAGATTTTATTAAAAAAGAAAAAATGTTTTTTTTTATCCTCAAAAACTCAAAATTTGCATCTCTAATTAAGGTTTGTTCAGCTTGACTGAATAAGAACAGCTCTTACGCTGCAGACCCCTGATATAGCTCATATCAGTGCTGCACATTCATTCCAGTGGCAAAGTGGCAACATTAGGCAACATTTAAAAAAAATGTGAAAAACACTAAATAATAATGTTTAGATACAGTCAAATGAGCACACTAAGAATATGGTTTTAATCTTGATCTAAAGCAACAGAGAGTTTCAGCCCTTTTACAGCTTTTCTGGTACTTAATTAGTGGAGCATAAAAAAAGGATTTCTAAACCATGTTTGTTCTCTGATTGACCCACTAGCTTGAAGGGTGCATAAGAGGGGAAAACCAAAGCATTTCATTGGATACCAGTACTCAGGAGGAAGCCCACTGGACGTTGCAGCACTGCTCTGGACCAATCAAGCTGCACTATCGGGCCAGTTTGGACTGTAAGTACATTTTTCAAAAGACCTGTTTAAACTTGATTACTGATATCTGACCAACACGGTACAAACAAAGAAGACAAATCAAAACATCTGTGGAAAATTCAGAATTTTCAGACATATTCTTGTTGGGATATTTTATATTATAGAAAATATGTCAATAACGTAACTATTTAACACACTCCACACCATATTAATACAATAATGAATGCTAGTATGAATTTGCAGGAGGATTGAAGAGTGAATGCCTTGTTTTTAAGCAGCAGTGCCTATAGTTTGGTGACAGCAGTGGATGGGTGGATGATCTGAGAGGCAGAGAGAAGCAGGATGAACCTTTGGGTCCTTAAACTGTTGAAGACAAAATAATGCAACAGCGCATAACCTATGCTGTTATTTTCTACCAAATCAACAATATACTTCTTTAAACAAGCGAAGATAATGAAAGATATAAAAAAAAATCCCCCATGTTCATCTTATTTGTATTGTACTATTTAGAAATGATTTACTCAGCAGCGTATTTTAATCTGAATTATTATGTAGAAGATGATCAGACTTGTAGGATTGTTTTTAACCATAATCTTTCCATGCATTAGATTAATACAGAAAAAATTTTCTTCTTTTTTTCAGTTTCACTATAAAATATGTCCATTATTTAATAAAGCACACTTTTTTATATTTTGTTCTTTAACACAAATATTTCAGTGGACCTACCGTAGGTAGTTTTTTAAGTCTTGGAACACTCCTGCACAAACCTTTTGAGCATTAATACAGCTGCAACAACAGGGGAACTGATGCATGCATTGAGTTTAACCTTTGTAACCTGTAAAGATAAATTATGAGATCAAGGCTACCTTAATAGATTGGAGAAAATATGTAATTCGGTCCACTTTTTTTTTTCAGTAATGACTTTATTTGGTACAAACAGTGTGATAACTTATCAAAACAATTGCACCTGTAACTAAAATATTTTTTTATAGATTATGTAAAATAATATTTGTTGATAAGGACTTTCTTTACTTAGTGATTGTGTGCAACTCATTTGAGGAAGTTACGTCCCGTCCTTCGTGCTGACTACAGTTTGGTGTTGCACGCTCTGCTTGAGTGTGAAACAGATCCTTATTCACTGTGGACGTATTTATAAACCATTCACATTCATATGTAATCGGTTTCATATGGGGCTTCATGTTGCCGATTATCTGCGAGTGAGGGAGTAGCCTCCGACAGGGAGAGGCCCAGAGTCTTTCAATTTAAAGAAGGAAGTCGTTCTATTTTGTTTTGATGTTACTGCAAGTTGAGCTGTTTGAACTTGGGTGCTGTTTTGTTTGCTCCTAGGTCTTTTTCTTTATAATTTTGCTGTTTCAGTCAGTCTATAGCCATTTTGCTTGTTTTTTTGGGTTTTTTCACTCTCAACTATGCAATGTTTTGTACTGGTGACTAGAACCACAGTCAGTTATAAAAGGCGTGTGAGAATTTTAAAGGCCCAATCCCAAACCGGCCATTTAAACACTAAACCTAAACCCTAACCCTTCATTTGCACGTTTCTGCAAAGGGTCTACCATATGAAGGGCTGACCCAAACCATGCAGTGGGTAGGGCGAGTGGAACTTTCAACCCCTGAACAGCGAGTCTGCATTAGAGAGGGTATAATGTAATATAGCAGAGGGTGTAATGGAGAACTGATGGTGGAGGAAACACTGGCATTCAAACATATGTTCCTGTGGTTTGCTGCATCTTCATCACACTGTCAGAAAATCACAAGTTAGAAAAAAATAAAAAAGACGTAATTGATTCCAAAAGGAGAGGTCCTCTTTGAAATAGTTGTATTTGACAATATATAATTTATTTAAAAGAAAGGGGGATATATTGGATGTCAGGACAACCTGCGTCACATAGGTACAGCCACGCACATGAAGCGGCACTGTGTTGCCATAGTAACGACTGCTTTCCTTTTTTGTTGGAGGGAAGAGGGAAACCCTTTATTATTGATACCCCCCATGTATAGTCCAGGAGTGAACCTCGATAGTTAAGGGGTAGTGCCTAGTTTGCCGGTAAGGAAGACTAATTAAAACAGTCTACTATAGACTATAATTTTTGTTCAGTATTTTGTTCTCAATTTATCAAGTTTAAATGTGATTATAAGTTATTTAGAGGAGCTCCAGATTTATAAATACAGATTAATAATATAAATGTATGTTGGATTTATTTAAATTCCTTACTAACTTCCAGGCAACAAACTTTTGCTTTGTTTTTTATTTGAGATGGAAGCATAAAACGCCTTAGAATTAAATGCTCATTTAGTAAAATTTTTATTTTATTTTATAATCGGTTATTATACTTTCCACTTTTGGACAATTATCAATACTTTTGACTGAGAAGGGTACTCATGGTAAGACAAAATACCCAAAGAGGTACACAAATCAAAAAAGGTTGGGAAACACTGAGCTAGTGGATATAAACAGAGGAAGGAGGAAGATGAAATAGGAAAACATAAATTACATACCTGATATATCATGGCGGACATGGTGCCATAATTTTTTCCATTTCCACGCATCTACTGCCTCCTGAGAGTCGCCTCTTTCTCACTGATTGGTTATTTTCAGTCTCTGCTTCTTTCAGGTTTATCTTCAGACTAAAAGGAGATAAAACAAACCCAGCATTTTACATGTGGTGTCATTTAACCTGTTAACTATTTAGCATGTACCATTGTCCTTTTAGCTGCTTCTAGTTGAATTTTGGTTAGGTTTATAGAACACTAAACTGTGTCAATAGAGGGGTTGCTTTTGAAGAGCCTCAAAACTTAACAATCTTTCAATGATTAAATTGTTCTCTCATTCTCCAGCATATCGGCGGCTCCAGAGTAATCTCTCCGAAGGCAAGTTAGCGTCAGGAGACTCCTTCTATATCCGAGTCAACCTCAACATCTGTGGACAGGCGGACAGCTGCTCCTTGAGCGTCCGCTGTGATGAAGTGGTTCATGTTCTGGACACCAGGCACCAGGGCCGCTGCGAGTGGCTGTGCTCGCGGGTGGACCCCTACACCGGCTCGGACCTGGCCGAGCGTGGCACCATACCCAGCAACTCACGGTAGGATTTTTAAACTGAAATGTGCAGATAAATTTGGGAGGAGTTTTGTTCAAAAGGAGTTTATCGCACAATCTCTTCTGGCAGAAAGCAGCTGCAAGAATGGATAAATATTGATGAAAAACCTCTTGTCCATTAATGAATTCTAAAGTTTTTACTTCTTGTTTGTTTCGTTTCAGCTCAATATACAAAGATAAGCCAGAAAAATGCTTTTCTTATAGTGATTTGAAGTGATGGTGTAAAACACAATGGCTTCCTTTTGCTACAGTATATTACCATTTCCAACATTTTCATTTGGTTGAGCTTCACAAATCGCACACAGCCATTCAGGAACAGATGAGAAACACAGTGTCTTCATTCTAGAAAGGGTGAAAAAGCCATTTCCACTAAACTTCACTGAGAGATACTAAAAGAAACAAAAGAAAACTGACAAATAAGAGAAAACAAACTAAATGAAGGCTTTAGTGGTCCAGAATTAAACCCAAGTAAGATTCCATAAGTGTGACCTGAAGCAAAACATAATCATGGAAAAAAGAAAAGGGTAAAAAAATAAGGGAAGAAAATAAAAAAAGACCAAAAAAATAGCCATAATTTGCTTTTGACTGAATTCAAAAACTCATTTCTAGATTCTTTACCAAACACTGATGGCAGTGGTTGCACCATCAAATCTAATGAATCTGTTATTCAGTTTTTATTTGATCTGAAATATTTAAGATGGACCGAAAAACAAAAAAACTAAAGGGAATACAGAGGAAATTTATAATGGAGGAAATACTTTTTGACATCCCTGTAGTGTTTCAAATGATTGCTGTGAGTGTTTTTTATGAGAGTCTGTGTGTGACTGCAGGGCTCAGCAGCTGCTCCTGGTAAAGATTCAGAAGTTTGTGTGTCGAGGTGGGAAAGAAGAAAATGAAAGCCAACGCAACAGCAGAGTAAGCATCCATCTAACTTATTTTATTGCTTCATGTAGTTTTCTCAAGTTTTCTATGGAGTTTATTTTTATCAGGAAACATTAAAAGAATGCTAATTTGGAAAATTAGTGGATTAAATAGTCAGAATCTGAATTTCTAGCGTTTTCTCTTTTTAAAGCATTGTTTTTAAACACAGCATGAATATAGATCTAGCTGGATTTACTTTAATCCTTAGTAGATTGTAACTAGATGCACAGACGCTGGTAAATGACATGTATTTCTTACCAAAAATACATTCAAATGTTGTCTAAATTATGGTATTTCTAGAAATGTTTTTATTGCTGAAGTGAATAATGTAATGATTCTGTCTGCTTAGGCCAGTTTACAGCCAGAAGAGGCCGGCTCCCCTCCCGATCCAAAGGCCAGTCCTCGTCTGTCCAGAGCCAGCATCTTCCTCAGTCAGATCCTGCAGGTATTAAAGTCCAATACTTGAAGCCAGGGTCACTTTTAATAGATTCTTTGTTTTCACATAATACCTACATAAGCAGTTAATGGGACTTTACTCAACAGACTGACAGAAGTTGTGCTTAATGGGGAAGTGGTTGGAAAACAAAACATGGTTTATCCTGTTTTATTTCAAAGCAAATAATCTGGGAAATAAAAATGAGGAAAAACATGGCAGGCATGTTTATTCAACCTATTAAAAACCTCTAAGCGCATGATTGACTGACTTTCTACAGGTTCTCTATTAAATTTGACACTTAAGGCCATCCATGTACATGATCTGTCAGTATGTTATGCATTTGTTGTAACTTTATCTCCACCCATCTCTCCATTAACCACAGCATGATGCCGCCACCTCCTTGTTTTACCATTAGCAGTGTGTGTTCAGAAGGAAGCTTGGTCTTAGTTTTCCATCAGATTTGCACATCAGCTAAAAAGTTTGCTCTCATCCAACCAGAACAAGTTCTTCCACATGTTTCCTGAGTCCAGAGCACTCCCTTGCAGATTAGTCAAATTTAAAACTTAGATTAAATGGCACAATGGACTGCCCTGGACTTTATTAGGTGGCTTTATAGAAATGGAGACTGAATAGATTTTTATTTTTAAAGGAAACCTGTTTAACCAAATACTGGATTACAAACCTTCTTCCCTGGGCTTTTGTCCCCAGTTTGTTAGCAGGGTGGATATCAAGTACAAGCGACTTAACAGCAATGAGCGTGTGAGGATCATCAACTCTGGAAGCACAACACTAGCAAGGCAGAGCTTTGAGCAGCTCAGACAAGAAGGTGAGCATACATCTTTGCTGACAAACCAGCATTCCTACAGCGACAAGTCAGGGGAGAAGCTTAATGCTAGAGCTGTTTGAATTTCGCTCGAAGCGACAAATTAAGATGTGATGCAGAAAATAGGGGTGTTAGATGCTGTAACCACCAAAAGAAGCTTCAGTAGGAATTTATGTGTTGGTTTTTTTTTTTTTTTCGTCACTTCAAAAGAAAATGCAACAGATCTCTCTGAAGGGAGATGATCGGTTAGATAAATAAAAAAGGAAGTGGACGTGCAGCTGGGGTGCATAGACGGAGACAGCCGAGGGCTGAGGCTTCAGGTTGACATTGATGTTTATACCGAATGGAAAATTAAAAAAAGGTTTGAAAGTCAAAATGTGTTAGATCGATGAGCATGAGGTGTAATGTGTCAAAGAAAAACAGATTGTTGAAAGCGTATGTGCTCACTTAGAGATGCTGACGTGTCAGAAGAGCTGACCTTTGTCCGTCAGAGACTTGTGAAATGTGCGTTGTATAACAGAGTCAGTGAAAGCCGAACTTTCACAATATTTAGAGGTGTAAAAGCTGTGATAGCAGTGTACCCAGTCAGGGATGGAACGAAGCAGAAGCCATTCAGAGGCAGAGGAAGATAAAAAGGGAGGTTATGCTTCAGGGACCTGAGAGTTTTGTACGTTAGATCTAATGAAAGTCATGTAAGTAAGGTTACCACTACCAAATGGAAAGTTACTCAACTAAAAGAGTTGCAAATAGACGGGTCAAGATTTTGACTACAGAATGCATTTCACTTCAACTTTAATAAACAGGTATAAGTTTGCTACAAATGTTGGCCTGCTACAGTATATGCACATACAGAACAAAATAATTTGAATGTTCAGGCTGATTTAAAATTAAAGTAAAAAAATTTTGAGGGAGTCCTCCCTCTCTCTATACTTATCTATTATCTATATTCACCTTTTCATCTTGTGGAAAAATAGCCCCACAGCATGATGCTGCTACTACCATACATCTAGCTTAGATTAAAAAGCTGCATTGTTACTCCTCCAAAAACCTTATAACTTTGAATCACTTTAATCTGTTTCTTTCCTCTCATTTCAACCATTTGACAGTTCTGGAGTCAAACGGTTGCAATTTTAAGATGCTACCTAAATCAAACATCCCAACTGATTTGGAGCATTCATTAAGCTTCAGAAACATCTCTATCTATCCAGGCCTAAAGCTCAGCAATCAAAGAGGACCTAGCTTAAGAAAAGTGTGGTTTATCCACATCCTGACCATTTTTTGATTACAGAAAATTCAGGACAGATTTAATCATGTCAGATTGCCTCTGAGTCTGAAGATATTTCTTTCAAAACATTGTGTTAAAGCAGTGTAGACTGAGTCCAACAGCATTGCTGTTACTAAGATTTTAAGTGGAATTTAAAAACAATTACAATGTGCTACTATGGAAAAAGAGGCAGGTGCTATGTATAAAAATAGTAAAAAAAAAAAAAAAAGTCCCTCTACTACGTCAAAATGTGTGAATGACAGGATCGGAAAAAACAAAACAAAAAGTACTCCGGACACAGAGCTTTAAATATCCAAATGTTATGAGAAACAAAAGACAAAAACACAATCCTGACCACAACTTTAATAGTTAATGTCCAGATCCAGCAGTAAAGAACATTAATTTAGGATTTATGATATTGGCTTTAGAAGGGAAGGCATTTACCATGGTGCTAAAAAAAAAAAAAAGCATGAGTGAATATTTAAATATGGTCTTCAATCTACTACATAGACTTGATATATAATATAATATGTCATATTTGACATTTTCATTTTCAGGTATGATTCAGCTAGTGTCTTAGGTAGAGTAACCTTTATTAAGAGTGCAAAAAGAGGGTGAAATCTGGCAGCAAGCTGCTAAGGAGTGAAGAGAAGAGCAAACCCACATAAACACAATGGTTACGCTGAGACAACAGTACTCAGTTAGAATGAGAGTTAATAATGGCAAAGATTAAAATAGTGATTTCGTCACTGAGGAGAGGAAGTCAGGTTATCTGAGAGCGTTAGAGTTTCAGAACTTCCAGAGCAGATAGAAATGTCTACATCTATTCACCGAAGGTGAGAAAAAAAAACTACAAAAACATATTTAGGAAATTTATAATTTCTGCTCCGACTCTTAAAAACTAAGATCTTCCAATTTGTCAGCAATCTCATTTATTCCAATAACCATGTCACCAGAGCATCCAGAGTGTTGGCCTTGTGGTTAGAGCAGTGCGCCTGTGCTCTGAGAAGGTTGCAAGCACCTGATTAAATCCCCACATGATCAGAGGTGGGTAGAGTACCCAAATATTGTACTCAAGTTTACTTAAAAGTAAAAATAGTAATCTGACAAATGACTAAAGTAATGGTAAAAAGTAATTGGGGGAATAGGGCTACTCAAGCACTGATAATGACATCATCTGATTCAGTGTTTTACGAATTATTTAAATTTAAGAAACATGTAGTTGTAAATTTTGATACAAAATAATACATCCAATAATTAAACAATAATTCAAAGGGAAAAAATACATTATACTTTTTTAAATAAAATCTCTCATGTCTTTATTAATCGTTTGTTATGTATGTAGCTCAGAATATGGCAAGTTACTTCCTGTAGCAGGATTCATTAAACTGTTTCCTCTATTTCCTTTCGACCACCAAGTGGCGTGATCAGCGAATAAAAAAATTAACATTAAAACAAAGAAGCTGGAGCGCAAGAGTCCCAGTCATTAACTGTAGGTGTTTGTCTCTCTGGCTCTATTTTTGTTTAAAACAGCCTTGTTCTTTATTTACTAAAGTTACACATGATGGATAGATTAAGCTAGACATTTTACTCAATTAAGAGTAAAAAGTATGACGCAGGAAACTAACTCTTTAAAGTATGTTTTTCTCAAAAGTTACTCAAGTGAATGTAACTGAGTAAATGTAACTAGTTACTACCCACCTCCTTCCATTGTTCAAGATTTTGTTTGATCTTTGCTTAAATTGAGACTTGCGTAACATCTTTTTATCATGTAAACAGGGAAACAAAAACCAACATCAGCTTCAAGGATCAACCCAAAAAATAATCTGCATATAATGGAGATCAGTTAGACTGCATTAATCTGCATTAGTTGATCTCTGTTGAAATGCATGCATATGTGACTAAAAGCCACATTCCTAAAGTTTGATAGACCATTGTCACCATTTGTCAGCCAGAAAGTCGTATTTTTTGTCAATGCTGCTCTGCTCTGCAGTATTAGAGAATGTCATTATCGACTTATGTTTGTTTCTTTTGTTTAATCTTGTTTTATGTCACACGTGTTGAAAACAATGCCTACTGCTGAGGCAGAATGTGATGTGACCAGCTTGTCTGTATAGCAGCAGGGTGTTGCATGCCTCTCTTTGTAATTGTGTGTTATCTATAAACCAGACGCTGCTGACCCAGACAACGACCTGAGCAGAGGTTTGAACCTGATCCCTTACAGTCCCGTCACCCCTCAGCGGACCCAAAGGAAAAGACCGGTTCTGTTTGCTCCGGCAGCGCTGGCCAAGACCATCATTAATAAAATCCTCAACATGGGCGCAGCCATGGATTTTATTAGCTGTAAACCGGGTAGGTGAAAGAAAGTAGTCTGTTTGTGTAAGAAATGTCATTTTATTGTCTCTGTAGGGCATGGGTAAGAACTGGTGAGATTCGGCGGAACTGTAATGTGATGAAAACGTTAAAAAGCGTAACCAGAGAAAGAATGAAGGCAGCAGAGAAGATGGCCTAGTTGATAACTGGTGTGACGATGCACTACGAGCACAATGACACAGATATTCTAAAAGAACTATTAGACCAAGATTAGCTGCTGTAAAAATGCTGAGAGGCCTTAGAGAAAATACGCCCCTGTCCCAAAGGAAATCTTCCTGTTCCTGATTAAACAGGTTCTTAACGTTAGCTGAACATCTGGCAAATCAAGATTCTTCTTTTATGACTTTCTGACATGGAGAGTCCCGAGGGTGAAAACCTCAGGTTTCTGTTCCCTCTGATAAACTCTGGTGTACCTGAGCAAATGAGAGCATTTTAAATGTCTATTCATATGACATTTCATTTCACTTTTTACCACCTCTCATTTTTCCGCTTTTTGCTTCCTGGTCCAGATACGCTGTCTAAGGAGGAGTTTCACCTGAAGCAGAATGTGGAGCCCTTCATTCACTACCAGGAGAAGCATGCCACATTTGAATGCATCACCCGGGAAAACATTGAAGCTGTCGCATCCAAAGTAGGTGTCTTCACAATATATGAGGGACACGGTTTAATTGATAGAATGAAATATTCTCCTGACTTTCGAGAGAACAGAAATAGGAAGATGTTTATTTGGACAGTAACACTGAAAACCCACATTAACCAGTAAGACACAGCAGTGGTACTATTATGCTATGGGTCATAGGAGTGCAAACCATTCAGAATCTTTTTTGTTGGAGGATGAAATAAGAAGCTGCAAACAGTTATTAACAACATCAGAATAACAAGACTGAAATGTTTTGGAAAAACAATAAAAGTCTGTATTCAATGTGGAGCAGAAGATATGAAAGAAATGTATAACTTGATTATGTGGATGGTTGGACTTGATATAAGCAAATACGTGTCATAAAGTTCAACAGTCTTGGATGTATGGGTAAGATAATTTAGGACTAAATTAGGTCAAAAACCAAGATAGTAATGGGTACATATTCAGGACAAGGGGTGGGTTTTGGTATAATAATCAACATGACTGAAAACCCAGGTGGTATGAACACCCAAAACATGATATGACCCAAAGTTATATCAGGTTATAGCTTATGTGATACTGGACTACAGCTTAGAAAAAAATAGTCTTTGTTTTCCTTTTTTCTTTAGCTGTATGACATATTTTCACTTTTTTAACTAAAGCAAATGTTGACTCTCGTGGCTGGTTGAAATCAACAGACAACCCGGCCAACAGGAAAAGAGATTATTTCTCAGTATTTCATAGAATGTCTCCAAACATTTCTGTGTCTTTAATAGAAAAAAAAAGACAACAAAAAACACCTGTATCAGTTCACCATGAAAGTAGAAGACTTGTTTTGATGGCGCTTTCGCTCTCTTTAGCGACCTTCCTGTTCATAGAAAAATACAAACTTTGACACATACAGCATGAGCACGAAGACTTCTACCATACCCTTATGTGTGAAACTGTAAACCAGCACCTCCCAACATATACACACGTAGACAGAATGTTTCTCTGGCTGCATGTCGTTGGATACCACTGCTGCAGAGATGCACTTGTGTGAAAGCGTTGTTTTCTCTCTACTCATTGTTAGGGTAAACACTGCCTGCTGGAGGCTGAGCTGAGCTGTGTCAAGGACCTTCTACGGAGAGAAATCTACCCCATCATCGTATATGTCAAAATCTGTGACAAGAATATCAAGAAGCTAAGGTAAATCTAGCGTAAAACTTTTTCCCAGATCTAATTGCATCTCAGGCTTTGTAATAAACGTATGTTTCTAGTTTGGAGACTAAATGGCACAGACAGAGCTAAGGTTTGATTTCTTGTGCTTCCTTTCTGAGCTACTAGCAGAGATTAATTAGATCAAACAAAAGGCCGAGCCATTTCTAAAAATCCAGTCTGCTCTGTTTTGTGGTTGGGCTGTTTCCAAGTAAAGATAACCAAAAGATCCCAAAGCCTGACGTATCTCAGTAAAGGTTCTGTGACGTCTTTGAGGATTACACTGAAATTGTCAAGGCCGCTGCAGAGCAGCGTCTACATGATCTCAGAGATACTGGGTTGCAAACATCACCGCAATAACCACCACAACGCTGCTTCCTTCCTGTTTCCTGTCCACACAGGAGGCTGCCTCTGTCTCATGATGTAGAGGAAGATTTTGTGAGGCTGTGTCGGGCGAAGGAGAAGGAGCTGGAGGCCATCCCTTGCCTGTACACCACCCTGGAGCCCGACTCCTGGACAGGGATGGAGGACTTGATCAAGGTCATCAAGGACAGAATCCTGGAGGAGCAGAAAAAGACCATCTGGGTGGAACAGGACCTCTTGTAGGTCTCTTATATCCCAGTCAGAACATCAAGTACACGTGTAACTAAATGCAGTAACCCACAAAACTTGTAAATCTCCCGTAGCTCTCGTTATATATTTATAGGCAGACTTAGAGACCCAAATGATTGCATTATATATTTGTAAAATTGTATCTCTGTTTTTAAAAAATAAACGGATTCTACCCCACGAAGCGTAAACGTCCTTTTTTGAAAAGAAACTTTTAACACAAGTGGCGAGGGCAATTCTTTTTTAATTAGCGCTTCTTAAAACAGATTTTACAAGAGATTACACTGCCATCTAGTGGCTAGCATAGAGCATTACAACATCTGGAGTTAAACAGCTTTTGTGAAAAGTTCACACAGTCATTGACAACAAATTAGAATATGATCCAAAACTTTATATCTCACATTTACCTCAATTATGGTTATAAGGCAATGAATTTCAGGTTTAATTATTAAATCAGGCCTACATAAAAACATTTTAATACAGAAATGTTTCCTTAATAAGTAATAGATTTAGTATCTTATGACTTTTTTATCCAGTACTACTTTTAATCTGATAAACAAGCCTCATCAGAAACTACATTCTAATTTATTATCATTTTTACACATTGTAATGTTTCAACCACCAACCTGAATTAATTTAAAAGGGATTCACTGGCATATGGTAATATATGCAGAATCTAGTTGCTGTAATGCGCCATGTGTATTATTTTAGTTATTTGGATTCAGAGTCTGTGAGTGTGTTTGGGAATTTGTCACATCAAGGTTCAAAGTTGTCCTACTAGAAAGTGCAGATACCCTGCAATACTCAACGTCTAAGAGCACCAAAGGGCAGGTAGCTTTAGCTGCACCAGCCCCAAGCAGACAGAGACTAGGAAACCCAACAGCACAGCAAGGTCATCCCAAAGAGGCATGGGAGATTTTTTTTCCACCCAATTCAATTTAAAATGACCAAAGCTCAGACTGAATGGTAATCTGTGAGCATCAGTTTTCAAGCCATTCCACAGAATCAACTGTATTTCAATGATGTGCTTTAATACAAACCCTTTAATTTACACAACTGTCAACTGATTCATTAGCATCTGATGGCGATCTATACCACTGGAATGTATTTTGAGGGTTCAAACTTCAAGTTGTGTGAATAAGTCACAAAGTTATTTAAGATTATATCACATTTCCAACAATGAACACGTGAAGTTTTGGTGACATATTTAGATGTAATGTTTATGAAGATATTAAGCGGGGAAAGTCTGAAGCCTTAGGGAGTTTAGAAGTCAAATATTTGGGAAACAGGGCAGGTACTACAATAACCCCAAACACAAAAATCAAAATCGCCGGCTTTGCGGCATAGGGGTGGATGTATTTTGGCTTATGGATGCTACATATCCAAAGTCCAGTTTTCAGGTAAAAGATTAAGCAAAACTTGAATCTCTAACAAATCTATGACAAAAGAAATGACAATAAATCCTCCAAGAATTGAAGAATGTGGAATGGAAAGTCCTGGGGTGAATCAAAGCTGCTATGATCTAACGGAGATGCAGTAAGATCTCATGGCTTACTGAGAAATGTAAGCCATGAAAACAGTTTGGCTTATATTTTCCTTATAAATGTAAGGACTGAAAACAGGTTGTTCATATCAGCGAGCCCCAAAATATTTCAAAATTTGTAGAAAGTAGAAAGACCTTCCCTGTGGTTTTAAATAGTATTCCAACAGGCAACAACACTACATAAGAGGGGGGCTGGCATGGGGTCTTTCACACCTCTGTTCTCTCTGCTGAGCCTGGGGATGTGGCTGGGCCCTTAGGGTTAGTCATGGATTGGGGAGCCATTTAACTGGTGTGGCTGTACGGCAGCTGAGATACAGTCACTTTGCCCGGATACATCTCAGCTTGTGAAGTGGGTCTGCTTGGCTGCTTGCCCTGACCCTGTGCACGGCTTGTGCCTGCATTTGAGTTGAGGTACGATGAGGGTCTCTGGCACTTGGGCTCGGTTGGCTGGCGTGTTGTACTTCGTCTAGGGAGGTGAATTACCTGGGTTGCATTTGCCTGCCAGCCATGGGTATGACAGGACCGTATGGATGTGAGGACCTGGAACAACTGTGACTGGCTTGGGCTGAGTGGATTCTTTGGCGAGTTAGCTACCTGCTCTGGGGTCTGTGGGGCTGGGTGGATGATTTTTTTGGGAATACCCTGTCTGTGGTTGGTGCATTCGGGGGCAATTGTCCCTCTTCAGGATGGGCCCAGGGTATTGTTTGGGGCTAGCCCTGGGCGACAGTACTGCTTTCCTCCCTATAATGGCGCAGGTCCCAACCCCTTTTTTTTTTTTGCCTGTCCCCTTTCCAAACTGAGCGGTCTGAGGATCTCCACATGGGTCTGTGGGCCTGTTTCCCCTTGGTCCAGACCCCTCAGGATGGTGTAAGTATAAGGAGTTTAACAATATATTTGGTGTCTATCCCAGTGGGCGTTCTCCATTAAATGTTTGTATACCTCTGTATGGGTGTAAGGGTGGGATTGTGATGAGTGTGAAGTTGTTATTGTCAACTTGTGACAATAACCCCCCTAGGAACTGGGCCCCTAGGGGTAAGGCTCTGGGTGCTCTCATCTACCCTTCTCTGGTAGTTGTGGCCATCCCTATGTCTGCCCTATTTATGTCTCAGTTTTCTGGGGTGCCACTGGATATCTGGGGCAGGGATCACCTCATTTTCCTTCCTGGGCCCTGTAGGGCAAGTCTGGGGCCCCCACAACTGCTATTAATATTTTTTATTTTTCTCCCCAAGAAGCTTTGTAAATCCTTTATACACTAGCATGCCCATGCATTAATAGCACACGAGTTGGTTCCAGGTGTTCAAGGATACATAATAATACTAAACATTAAGCTGCATGGGTTTTGCCGTCCACGTACATGTGTATTTAAGGGATACCTGCTACTCTTTAATCTTTTTTTTATGTTTACTTCGGTTGTCTGTTGTCTTCGTTTTGCTGTTGGTATGTTACATGTTCCTCTCATTTCATACAGGTGGGGAAGCAGACTTCTAGAAATCACTGTATATATTCTGTGTTCTCCATTTTTGCTGTTTTGTTCAATTTTCTCTTTTCAGGCACTCTACCCTGTCTCTATCTCTTTCTCTCTCTCTGCTTAATTCTTATCCCCTCTTTCTTTCTCACCTCCCCTAATGAGGATGAGGCCAAAATGGATGTGTTTATGTAGGTATGTGTTTATGTGCCTTTTACTTAAAATTTCAATGGAGCGGTACAACAAGAGTCGTCCTAACAGGGGAGTGACTGCCTAATGGTTGGGGCATAGATCTTGGAATCCTGAGGTTGTGAGTTAACTCACAACCTAAGTGAGTTGAAACCCACTCCCACAGACTGCCACTCTGGGTCAGTGAGCAACACTTTAACCCCTGATTGCTCCCTGGGCACTGCACAGTTGCAGCCCACTGCTCCCCAATGGGGATGGGTTAAATGCAGAGAGTTCATTTTCTCAATTGTGAGATCAATAAAGTTCAATGTATTTTTTATTTATTCATTACTTGTATGTATGTATGTACGTACGTATGTACGTATGTACGTATGTACGTATGTACGTATGTACGTATGTACGTATGTACGTATGTACGTATGTACGTACGTGACCCTACCATCCGAATGTCGCAGCAGAAATCAAGACTCATCAGACCAGGCAACGTTTTTCCAATCTTCTATTGTCCAATTTCGATGAGCTTGTGCAAATTGTAGCCTTAATGAGCAGTTGGACAGGTGTACCTAATAAAATGGCCGGTGAGTGTATATATATATACATATATATATATATATACACGTGTGTGTGTGTGTGTGTATCTATATAATTGTGTCACTCACCGGCCACTTTATTAGGTACACCTGTCCAACTGCTCATTAACACTTAATTTCTAAGCAGCCAATCACATGGCAGCAACTCAGTGCATTTAGGCATGTAGACATGGTCAAGACAATCTCCTGCAGTTCAAACCGAGCAT